CATATGTATGCAAATGTTTATTTGCAATATCCACTTATTTAAAGTGGATTTATTTTGTGAAGAAATTTGGATCAGAGGCCAAGAACTCAACAGGAAACAGCAAGTTTACACAATAAGATGGAGAATGGCGTCAAAAAGTTTTTACTTCCACACTTTCCACTAATTAGGGTCCATCTGAGAGTGTAAATACTTTATAATGTTGAATATTCTGTTCATGTCCAAATCCACAGCTGAGCTCATACCGACAAATGTTTGTGCCGAGTGGGATTTTTCTGCACAAGCAGCTTTTCTCTTGAAATAAAATTGAACTGCATTTTTATTTTTCTCTCGAGTTTTTGTATTTTTTACATGTAAAACTTCTGGCAGAAATCAAGAACGATCTTAAATGTGGTCACTAAAGCAGGAAGTGGTTCAGATGTTCTGCCTTTCTAAATGTTAGAATTTGGTTATAAATGAGGATGCTTTTAAGGGATCTGGATTCCAAACATCTTTTAAGCGGTGGTTTACAGACTCAAGCAATCTCAAACCTGAATGTTTTCATGACTCGGTGGGGTGGCATTATAAACATTTTAGGGAGCGCTGGATACATGAGGGCTGGTATGGGGGCCCTTATGCACCAACAAAAGCTTCACAATTTGGCTTCTTTGTCCTTAATTTGAACTACAATTTAAACGTTCATGGTTTTCCAACTGAAATTAAGCTGCTTCCACTGCTGGGTAAAAGGGAACAAACCCCTCAGACAGTCAAGTCTTCAGTTGCTTTTCAAAAGCCCAGAGCTGTGTGAGCGTTTTCTGTTTTTATTGGTTAATGGTTGATCTCGAGAAGTGTGAGTTTTATTCGGCATCTCTGAAAATATCAGTCAAATTAATTTTCAAAAAATGCTGCAGTATTGGTATTTTTTCACCCTGGGTTAAATGTTACGATATTGTGAATATAACTTATAGAAATTTGAACGATTTCTATTTCTCAAAGCCTGTGTGACCTTTTTCTCAGTAGAAACACCAATTTGAATTAAATTAAACTTCACAGCTCTTCCAGAAAAATCTTAGTAGCTACTCAAGGGCTCAGGGTTACATTACAAGTAAAATAACATTCCCATGTGTTTTGCCAGTTTCTCATGTTAAGCACGGTAATATACAAACATAACCTATTTTATGTCTACATTTTGTAGGCAATGTTTAAAATCAATACTTTAATTTCCTGTAAAATGGTCAGATTTGCTTAGCCGCACATCAAGTTGCTGGGGGCATTGATGCAGCTCCAATCCAATAAAAAGATGGATTTTAAAATAAAACAATGGCTTTTCTTGCCATAAAATCCAATGCAAATTGAAGTTGCAGTTTTAATACACTGTTTACTAGAAGAGCACTTAAGAACACTTAAAGCACCAGCACAAGCAACTCCCACAATAAGTTGCTTAGAGCGTTGTTACTCCTTTTAAAAGCCCTGAAAACATTTCAAGGTGTGTGGAACCGTCTCCTCATGGAGTGGATGGGAAGCCGAGACAGGGACCAGTTAAAATTTCTTCACTGCGTCTTCCCTGCTGAGACCGCAGGTAAAAGACAAACAGAAAAGCAGAAAGACCAGAGAAGAAATCGAGGAGGAACTTTTCTCGTATTATCCTTGTAGTCTCTTTGTGATGAATCTTCAGAATTATGTTTTATAAATGGGTGTTAAAGAAAAGTGAAAATAATTCTGAGAAATTGTCAGGAAATTGTGTTCAAACATTGATCAGAATCAAAGCATAAATCAGAACAATTACTTATTTTGGGTTGTTTGGAATGAACAGGTTCAATAAATAAAGTTTAAAGCTTTTTCTTGTGTTTCTGTAAATGTTTTGTGCCTAATGCTTGACACAAACTCTCCGCTTAAATACAGCTTTAGTTCAGAGCCCCATTTAAAAATATTATGGTTTCATTTTTAGGCTTCCGAAGATATTGCCTAAAAATTCATTTAACCTTATAATGACCAATCAAAGAAATGATAAAAAGAAAATAATTATTTTTTAGTCAGAATAATATAATCATTGTAATTGTCATATATAAAACACACAATTTTGAACAGTATTGATAAAAATTGCCTTTATTTTTCTAAAAACATTAATTGTTCTACAAAACATGTTGTTACAAATAATAAAGGTGGCATTGAGGGGATAAAACTAATTTATTTATTTAAAGCACAATATGAAACCTGATGCAGGAACTGAAT